ATCAGACTTCGATATGTTGATAGTGGTTGTTCTAGGCACATGATAGGGGATATCTCTCTTATGCATGACATTCAGAATTTTCATGGAGAACATGTGTCCTTTGCAGTAAAGGAAAAGGAAAGATCACAAATGGGGATTTCTTCAATAGATGAAATACGATTTGAATTTTCTAACTCTTCTCTTTTCTGTGATAATAATATTGATTTTCGATTATTCAAAAACCTAATTTTTCTTAAAACCAAGCTCGTGCTTATGGGATTTCTTAAGATGATGCATTTTGAAGACTGAAAATTTCTTTTCTTTTTATTTAGTATTTCTTATTTTCTTTCATTTTATTTCATTTTTAGAAAAGTTTTTTTATGACAATCTTTTGGGAAGTGATATGAGTTAGTGATAAAGGGAAAACGAAATACGTGTAAAGTACTAAAGTTGAATTGCATAAACTCTGTGTTCAATGTGTTGGTAGACATAAAGGACTAACATGAATGGATTAGACATTGCAGAATCAATTGAACTTAGAAAATCTCATTTGGACTGAAAATACGACATTTGGATAGATTTAACAGTAAATAAGACAAGGAGGTACCTGACATAAATTGAAGCTAACTATCATCTACATCTGTGGCTCAACACTTCATTGACATATGGACTTGTGTCCTTAATTTTGGTATTGATCGGGGGTGACTGAGGGGTTCTGATAAATTGGGTCTGTTTAAAATCGTTATTCTTTCTTTCTTAGTCAGCCATATGTTGTCTCCTTTGCGTGATCGGAAGATCTGACCTGGGACACAACATATACACTCAGATAATATTCACTACTTTTAAGTCATTATACCGTCTACTACAAATATTCTACTCTCTATGTTAGTCATATGTTGTTCTCTCTGCGTGATCGGTAGATCCGACCTGGGACACAACATATACATTCTACAATGATTATCTACTCACCTAAAGTAAAGGATTCTGAGGAAATTTCCTTGATTACTGGGGTATACTATGAAGTGGGGAACATGTTTTAGTGTACTAACATTAACTACACCTATAACTAAAGGCTGACTGGTAGATTTTACTGGCTAAATTTAAGTGGACAACAATATCATTGGTCGTTGTCTAACAAAATGGTCTATCCAGGAATATAGTAGCTATATATTGTCACTCGTAATCTGTCTTGAAAAAAAATACTTTGTGTTTAAGTGGATCACAATATCAATGATTGACCAGAGTTTTTCATGAACGTGTGTGCTGATAAACCTCATTAATTTGCTCAATAACATTTGGTCCCAAAAGTTTTTGTTTGAATTACATTTTTTTTGTTTTTATTTAAATTTATGCATATTTAAATTTGTACATATTTTCTTTGGTATGCACAAATTTAGGAGGATAAATAATAAAATAAAAAAAATAAAAAATAAAAAAATAATTAAAAATATAGTAAATTACACAAATAGTCCCTATGGTTTGGGTAATTTGCGAGCTTGGTCCCTAATTTTTTTAATTAAGAAAGTCCCCACTGTTTGTTTTTGTTACACGCTTGGTCCCTACTGTTTGTTTTTATTGCGCGTTTGATCCCTATCTTACCTAAAAAGACTATTATTTAAATAGGGAAAAATGGTTGGGTATATAAGGTAAGGTGAGGGGGTGGAGGGTGTGTTTATTTAAATCAATTAAAAAATCATGGGCAAAATAGTCTTTTTAGGTAAGACAGGGACCAAGCGCGTAACAAAAACAAACTGTAGGGACCTTCCGAGTTAAAAAAATAAGTTAGGGACCAAACACGCAAATTACCCTAAACCATAGGGACCATTCGTGTAATTTACTCTTAAAAATATATATGTAAAAATGTGTTTGATTTTAATTTTCGTTTTGGTTTTCGAAACGTAAAATTGAAGGAAATTCTTCTTATGAAAATTTGGGTTATTTTATGGTCCGAAATCGGATTAAGTGGTCCATTTGAGTTTCTTGGTCATATATATACTAAGTTTTCAACAGATTAGGGTTTTCTACCGAAAAAGCCCAAACAACCATCATCATCACCATCAACGTTCTTTTCCTTTCTCTTTTTTGAGTTTTTCTGCAAAACCTACCCAATCTTTATTCTTGTTGAAAATTGTTCGGTGAATCTAGTATAATTTTTATTTTCGATTATGGCAATGTCATTAATGTTGTTTTTGATGTACTCGATTTCATAGATTTGCAGGTTTTGAGTGGATTGTTTGAAGGTTTTTCAAAATCTGATTTGGAACAGGTTCCGATGGGATTTCGGGTTTCCGGTTCAACCTGGATTAGACCGAAATCAGATGAAGGTTTGACCTAAAACAGAGTTCTCGACCAAAATCACCAAGCATTGATCGAAATCATCTAGTCAACATGTGTTTTCACCGAAATCGATGAGCCTTGACCGAAATCGACTAAAATCTTCACTTTAACCGAAAATGACTAAAACTTTGACTTTAATTGAAATAAAATTTCAACCTCAATTTAATTAATTTAAAATTAATTCTTAATTGGCTAGTTTGGTGCAAATAAATGGCAGAGCAACTAAAATTTGTAGACTCTCACAAGATTGTGGGATATCTCATGTACCCACCTGCGGCTCATCAAGAATTCAAATCCATGATGGTGGGTTTGAACAATTGCTGGATTTCTCAAGCCCTTCATGCTAATCCAATCATCTATAGAGATCGGATCACTGAGTTCTAGAAAAATTCTTCGATCAACAAGCAGGGAGCAGATGGAGCTGGTACTGTTGAATCGAATGTGAAAGGAACACAAGTAATTATTTCCGAGTAAGTTATCCGAGAGGTACTTGAAATTGGTTATGCTTCTGCATTCCCAATTGAGTACCTTGCTGATCAAGTCAAGGAAGTTATTGAAAAGATGTGTTATGAAGGAACCTATCCTCCCACCACCAAGAAGTTACTGCCACCTTACTGGAAGTTCCTGGCACATTCTTTTGTCATTTGCATTTCTAGAAGGAGGGGGGGGGGGGGCTCTGATGAAATTAGTCAGACTGTAACCTCAACCATTGTCGCTCTGGCTATGGACTAGGATTACAATTTCTTAAAATTCGTTCTTGAAGATATGAAGAGTAACCTTAAGGGAATGTGTAACACCCAAAAACCTGGTACGTCTTGAAACCCTCAAGAATTTACTTATGAGCATAATTCGTCCCTCGAATATGTTGGGCGTACCTATGAGTACGCTTAGCGTACTCTACATGATAGATCCCGAAGAAGCCTCACGTACGCTGTGCATACGTAAGGGTACACCGGGTGTACGCATCAGTGAGCCAAAACCCTAAATCCCAAACTTGTTCCCCTATTTAATCATCTTTAATCCTCTTGAACCAACCCTATCAGCCTCTTGTGCCTCTTTTCATCTACTTTCAGTAGTGATAGTGTGTGTGAGGGTTTTAAGCTTAAGAAAAGGAGTTTAGTGGGCATTTTAGAGTTCTTTCAAGAAGGAGAAGAGGTTGTGCAAGCTTAGGACGAGTTGATGCTTCAAGATCCTGCCTAATACACTTCTTGCAAAGCTTCTAGAGGTATAAAGCTTGCACCTTTCCATCTTAATCTCTAGATCTAGTTAGGGTTTCTTGTTTGGTCCTTTTTCGGATGGTTTTGGATCTCATTTGTGAGTTAAGCAACTCCAGGAGAAGGGATAGACAGATCTGAGGCCCTTTGGCCCTTTAGTACCTTAAAAATGGAAGCTTGAAGAGAGATTTGGCCTCGTGCATGAGTTAAAGACCTTGGAAAGGTCTTAATGGAGAAGTTAGGTGTGAATGAGTCATTCAAAGGCATAAAGTTGCCAACTTTATGCCTTAGTACATCTTTACAGACTTAGATCTGGCTTTTGGACGTAAAGGACTTGATTATTAAGCACTTAATGGGGAAAGTGCTTAAAATAAGGGTGCGTTGGGTGTAACCCAATGTACGTGGAGCGTAGTCCCATGTCCCAGTACGTTGTATGTACCAGGATGGTACGTTGAGCGTACGCAATGTAGATGGGCCGAACCTGTTTTGGGCCTTTAGGCTATTTGGGCCTCATTTTATTATTAGGCCTGGTGTAAGCTGAGAATTAGGAGTCATGTAATTGTTACGGGCCATGGAATTAGTGTTGGGCCTCTATTGGGCCAAGAAGCCCATTAAGGACTTTAGACTTAGGCTTTGGGCCTATTAGCAAAGGATGGACATTTGGGCCTTATGGAAGGGTTTGGGGAGTTGGGTTCCCTTGGTTAACTAAAGTTCTAACATTGATTAATATTATCATTCAACTTGGAAGGTTTCAGACTGTCAAAATAGCAGCTATTGTATTCAACAGACAGAGGTGAGTCTTCTCACCATACCTATGGGTATAAGGCACCAAGGCCGTCCCATTATGTAATGATGATATATGTGATAGTCTTTTTGTGACTTGATATGATATGTGATTGTGTGTTTTTCATAAAGACCTCGGAAGGAGCTCGTGGCATTGGATGTAAGACCATGTGGAGTAGCCCATGGCAGTCCTAGGTAAAGACCATGTGGGGTAGCCCATGACATTGGATGTCAGACCATGTGGGGGAGCCCATGATGGTCCTAGGTAAAGACCATGTGGGGTAGCCTATGGCACTAATACAGGTTTTATGTATGCATGGCTTATGTGATATTTGTGTAGCTTTAATTAGCTAACAGGATATGTGTATGTGTGGTATGCTCTGGGGAACTCACTAAGCATATCGCTTACCGGTTGTTGATTTGTTTCAGGTACATTTGAGCCCAAGGGCAGGGGCAAGGCGTGATGGCGTGGCGTGCACTCTATCTTTATCTTTCACTGATAGGAATTGGGTACACTCTGATGATTTGAATAAGTTGTAATGAATTGTTGATTTGAAAACAATTGTGTTGGGATTTCATGTTTATTACAATTATGTTTTATTAATTAAAAGTGAAAATTTTCTTTAAAATTTGGGTCGTTACAGAAAGAAAAAGGATATATTTTTAATGTACCCCAGATTCCTTCAGATGATCCTGAATGAAAAATATCCCCAAATTGAGAGGTCGTCTGCTACTTTGGATATGAAAGCCTTGGGTCCCAACACCTTTGGGCTCATGAAGCAATCAAGAAAAGCTTCCAAAGTCCCCTATCAAGGATTAAAAGAGTTGGTTAAGTTTGGAAAGTTTGCTGAAGTTGAAAACACTCCTGCTGCTAGTTCCTTAACGTTGAGGTTGTCGAGGAACATGTGGCACTTAAACCAAAATTTCAATTTGCCTTTGAAGAGGTTGAAATTTTTGATCATGATGAATAAGAAGAGGATCAAGAAAAGGAATTATCAGAGAATGAATATGAAAATTTTATTCAGCAAATATTTCATTCACAGAAGAGGATGCTATTGTCACACCTCCTATTGTGTCTGAGAGATAAAGTGATATATTGGTACAATCTTCCTCATCTACCCCTGAAAAGATGGATGCACTTATTTCAGAACTTTAGCACACTATGAGGAAGCCTCCCCAAATAGATCATGTTGATATTGAACCTCCATTTGGAAGTGATCTAGAAGATATCTCCCACGCCCTACTCCCGAGGAAAAGAAAAAGAAGAGATCCAAGACCTGGAGTGCTTATCATAGACCCTGTTAAAAATGTATCAACATCGATTAAGCCTAGTCCTATGGATCAAAACATTGAAAGCCCATTCACTGAGTCTTTTCCATTGATACAAAAGATACCAAGCTTGTTACCTGAGTCCACTCCGATGGATTAGTATATTGAAAGCCCTATTGTTGAACAAGAAGTCTTACCTTCAGAAGGGCCTCAAGCTTCTGGAAGCTCCTTTGAAGCCCCCGAATTGGACATTTCAATAGGCAAAAGCAAGTTGCCTGAGTCTGAATTCATGGATGTTGCCCTGCTTCAGCACAAAGTTTTTGTTTTGGAACAAAACTCAGCTAAAAAAGATTTTATTATTAGAAAGCAGGACATTCGAATCAGTGAGCTTGAAAAGGAGAACTCCATTAAAGATGCAAAGATTTCAAAACTTCAAGCAAATCTTGGTGGTCTTACTGCTTTATTCTTTGGCCTAAAACAACGCTACATCAAAAGTTTGGTGATGAATTTCAACCTTTAAGTGTTGAAGGATAAAAGATTTCTGCTTCTTGTTCAGGTGCTGCCGATCCAACTTCTCACCCTACAAGTGAAAGGGTTGTAAGACCTACCCTAGATGCTAATATTGATTCATTTCTATCTTCTAGTCCTACTTATTCTCAAGAAAGAAGAGAGAAGCAAATCAGGGTCGAGCAGATAAAAGGGAATATGTTAGTGATGAAGCATTCAGACCAAAATGCTCCACGTTATCACCATAAGGTGTTTATCAGGGAAACTGGAAAGAAAGTCATAGATAAATATGGGGATCCCTCTAGCATTATGAAGTGGGGATTTGATGCTGAAAAAGAAAATGTGGGTTGTGAAGCGGAAAAGCGAACAAATTGAATATTATGAGAAGAAAGTCAACTTCTTGTCTTGGAAAAAGTTGATCTTTCTGAACTCATCCATGCACCTTTCCACAATCCAACCAACAATCCCATGGCCTGGTCTTTTAAGAATTTTCTTGAGATTAAAGCTAAAAACAAGTTTAAAGGCTTGAAGACTACTTCATCGTTTACCAAAAAGGCCAAGGTATCATTGATCCTCGCACTAACAAAACCATGGTAAATGTCATGTGGTCGCCCACAAAGCAAGCTAAAAGGATTCCACTTCCCAAACGTTTACCAGATGGCACTTTGGATTCAATGCAATTCTGGGTTATGTTGAGGCTATTGCGTCATCGGTGATCAAGCTGAAGAAAAACCTGTATCACATTGTTGATCCTAAAGGCTTGTTGAAGTTTGGTGAGCATGATATCCGTACTTTGTCAAACTTTCAAATAATCATTGAGAAGCCATGAAGAGAACTAAAAGCGATAAACCAAGGGGGAGATTGTTGGGCTATATTTTTTGGTTTATGCTTTGTTTTTATATGTATTATGTGTTCTCGGTTTTGGACCGAAATCACTAGTGGGCTTAGTGTGTTTTCGGTGGGCTTGTTATGTTTGGGATTTAGGCTATTGGTATAGTATAAATATGGTCAGTGTATAGCTGTTCTAGGTTAGAATGCGTGAACACGTTTTTAGAGAGTTTGAGGCAATTCACAGCTGAAGTATAATTGAATGTACTCTACAATTAATCAATAGAATTGTATGTATTCTTTGAAACGTGTTCTCAATAAATTGTTTTGTATCATCTTTTGATTAAGATTCCGCATTAACTCAAACAATTGCATTGATACCTTGCAAGATCCGAGTTTAGGGACTTACTGTACGTGAGTCATTTAGAAACCTTAATTTTTGGGGTTGGGCACTATATAAACATCATTATGGACCATGAAACCCTCATTTCTCAGCCTCCATCATCCCTATAGGATCAAGAATGAAACCATAAGCCTCTCCTTTGTGTTTTGAGCTAATTGTGTTCATTTTGGTGTTGTTTGGTTCATATTCAAGAAGTAGAAGCTTGGTGCAAGGTGGTGGATCTAAGAAGAGCTTGTGGATCTCGTTTATTTGCTTCATTTCTAGCTTGTTTGAGGTAAAAAGCTATGAACTTGCTCATTAGTGGCTTAGATCTATCATTTGTGAGTTTTGTCCCCAAGAATGAGATCTAATGGTTTGATACCACTCTAGGAGCTTTGAATTGCCACTCTTGGTGTTTCTGAGGTTCTAGATGCATAAAGTTGTCACCTTTATGGTTTAGATTCATCCATTCAAGAGTTTATGTCCATTTGTTAAAAGTAAGTTGTTATATTTTGAAGTTGGATCTTTATGTGGAATGAAAAGTCACCAAATAAGTGAGTCTAAGGCACCAATGCCAACCCTTGTTGTTTATGTTAGGATGCCAGGAGTTTGTGTGACCCTTGCATGTGTTATGTGCTGCTATGTATAGCGGGCGGGGTTTGATGCCGGGCGAGGCCCGATGATTGAATCGTATGCTATTGTTTATGATCATTGTATGTGTTAGAATGATTAAGTGATAAGTATTGTATGTGGATAGTGGGCAGGGCCCGATGACAGGCAGGGCCTAAGAATAACAGATCTATATACCGAGCGATACTCGATGCTAGATGGAGCCCGATGTAGGGCGGGGACCCAATATGCGATTTATTATGTATGGTATGGGGTATTTTGGGTAACTTAGTAAGCTTCGTACTTTCAGTTTTCAGTTTATGTTTCAGGTACTTTTGGTTCCAAGGGGAAGAGCTCGGGATGACTACATCGCACACACTACATGGATTGCGCTTTTGAGATATCACCCGGATTGTTATAATGTTGATATACTTATTTTCATTTGGGTTGTATGGATAATTTTTTTGGAATACCATTTTATTTAAATTAAAAATGAAATTTTTGGATCATATTTTTAGGACGTTACAAGTTGGTATTAGAGCCTTGGTTTTAGGGATTTGGGCACTCTCTCGGGTGTGTCTAAATTTAAACTGAGGATTTAGTATGGTTTTTCAAAAATAAATATATTTTTAAGAAAAATGTTTTTTCTAAAATAAGAAAGGGTATGGTGCATGCAATCAGACGAGCTCAAGTAAGTTTTCGCAAATTACCCATACATGTTACCTGATATGATTTGATATGTGAATCTGTGAGTCGCATGCTAGTTAGGGTTAGGGATCTGCTCAGTTTTTGCTTGATAGAATGCTAGGAGAGATGTATTTGTATGCCTATTGTATGTGCTTGTAGACTTGCATGCTAGTGATGATCAGTCAGCGATAGGATAGTCTGATTAGGTTATGCTTGGTTTCGATTACTTGATGCTTGAATGTTGCTTGCTTTGTGCTCTTAGGAGCTCTAAATAGCTTCAGCTAACTAGTAAGCGAATATGCTAAGTTACATATTATGGGAACTAAATAATTTTAGAAGGTTAGATTTTAACTCTATCGCACAACTCTTGTTTGAGTCCAACCATTGTAGTGTGAGACCTATTCGAAGACTTATATAGTTTTAGTGATATGTAATTGTATTTGTGATCATTTTAGAGGGAGTTAGCGGGAGTTCCTTTTGCAACTGATGGTGGAGAGTGGTATGGAGTTTGCCCTAGGAAAACCTAGGATGAGATCTAATGCTAGGATCCTTATTTGTGAGAGAAGGTTATATGGATATAGAGTAACTTGGTTGAGTCAAAGCAATTCTTGATGAAAGTATGAATAGATGTGGAAGGTAGTACGGGCCCGTACCACTAGAAGCAGAGGATCCGTACTCGATTCAAGGAGAGATGCGATGAGATCAGGAAGTTTGAGGAGTTTGTGATTCCTCGATATATATATATATATATATATATATATATATATATATATAAACTTTGATGTGTATTCTGATGGTTTATATGGTCTATTTTCAGTATGGTGACACTGAGGGGCAGACCTATTGGCAGTTTCAGTGCTGGTGAGGGTTCAGGCTTAGGATATGGAGTTGGACAGGTCGATTAGCTGATTAGGGAGTTAATCTCGTCTGAGATTACTCGATGCATTCTTGATCATATTCTTGTGATCTTTGGCATGGTCAAGGAGGGTATTCGGGAGGTTTTGGATGAACGATTAAGCTCGTTTCGTTCTGAGATAATGGTACTAGTGGGAGCATGCTCTTTGGCATTTAGGGAGTTCCGGGCATGTGGAGCACTAGACTATCATGGGGAGAAGGACCCCATAAAGAGTCAACGGTGGTTAGCAGATGTTGCTAATGCCTTCCACACCACTCGTTGTCCCGAGGGGGACAAGGTCAGACTAGTGTCTTGCCTTTTGAAGGACATGGCACAAGACTGGTAGGAGGAGGTAAGACGTGCATTAGGGGATGATGTTGTTGATGTGATGTCATGGGATGATTTCTCGACCAGGTTCCAAGCTGAGTTTGCACCGATAATTTAGGTGAAACAGTTGACACGAGAGTTTCAGGATCTCAGCCAGACTACGAAGATGGTGGCTGAGATCACAATAGTGTTTAGGGAGATCGCACTTACGGTTCTGTAATATTTGGTGGATTGGGAATGAAGAAATCATGATACCATGAGATGCTGAGGAGCAACATTCGACAGTTTTTAGCCGATCCAGCTGCGAACGCTGGAGGATATGATAGCTTGAGCTAGGGAGAGGGAGATTGACATGGAGATAGAGAGAAAGTAGAAGTCGGATGAGATTCATATATCAGAGTGTTCGGACAAGAGGCCCATGGTATCGATATCTAGATCGAGAGGCCATCAGGTCCTTAGATGATGTCGTAAATGCGGAAACGCGCACGAGGGACCGTGCATGGATGGTGGTTCTGGTTGCTTCAAGTGCAGTCAGACAGGTCATTATAGCAGGGATTGTACTTCTACCACCACCCAGGGATCAGATCTGATTTGTTTTTATTACAATAAGATGGGCCACAAGAAGGCCCATTGTCCGAGTTTGGCTGAAGCAGGACTGGTGTCAACACCCACTCCTATGACGAATGTTGGGCGTTCCTCCTTGGTTCAAATCGCGAGTCCTAGTGGGAATGTAGCGCGTTCCCAAGCCTTACGTAGGGTGTTAACGTACAGTTTCCAAAAAGCCGGCCATTAAGGACTTAATGCTTAAGCCATGCTAACCAAACACATATGCAAGCTATTTAGGACTTCTAGAATCATAGAGTCACGGACTTTGTGACTTTGCATGTCCCCAAAAGTCCCAATCCCAAGAAATAGCAATCCACTTCCATAAAGATGGCCATAATTCTTGCATGAACCCATTAAGACCTCAAAGATCTAAATCTTTACTGTTATTGGGACACAAATAGCATCAAGGGTGGTAAACCTAAGTTCGGAAACGGATTGGACTCATAAATATCCTTTCTTGGGACCTAAAAGGTCCAAAACTGCATTAACATAGATCTAAACATTCATGAGGCATGTTGAAATCTTTTTACCTCAAATGAGTGCCAAAAGGTGATGCTATCTTGGATCCTTAAGCTCAAAATACTCAAGTTCTTCTTCACTAGCTTCTTCTTTCTCCCTCTAAGCTTCTAAACACCACAATGAACTTCACAAGGAGAAAAACACATAAGAATAGGAATGAGAGGCTATATAAGGTTTCTAAGGTTGAGAGGCTGGTAAGGAGACTAGGGCTTGAGTCATAATGCTTTTTTATATAGGTCCCACACCCTAAAAATTAGGGTTCACATTCAACTCGGGAATGAAACACGTTCCTCAGGGGTACTCCCTGCGTTCGGGATCTGCCTCCAAAATCCAAAATTAGCAGAAATGGTCCCTCCTTCCTCCAAACCCACTAATTACAAGGTCCAAAAGCAGTAATTCAATACATAAGGTACCAAAATGTAAATAATACATGAACTGGGTGTTACAGTTTTAGATTGCTTAAACTCATTATTTAAAAAAATTGGTTGAAAATTTGGGACGTTACAATTCGTTAGTAACTTG